TATATGGTTCATAAGTGTTTCATTCACTTAAAAAAAAAATATATTGTTTTAGTGGTTTTTACCTTACATTATATATTTTGATACTTGTTACATAACTCGGGTGTCAAAGGATATCAAGTATGCTGATAAGCAGCCAATAGTATCCTGGGGTCCAAGGTACTTGTTTGAATTATGTATTGAAATGGGCCTGTGTTTTCTAATTATTGCTATATGGTTCATAAGTGTTTCTTTCACTTAAAAAAAAAAAAAATTGTTTGTTAGTGCAAAGATTATTATACTGTCTAACACGGATGTAAAATACTATGCCAGAAAAGGCATTGATATGCTTCTTTCTGGCCTATTCTGAGTGTCTCGATATATGGTTAGGCTAATTTCGGACCGAGAGGTATCAACATACCTTTTCTTATATCTTTGTCGTTTTAGTTTCATTGGCTCTCCACTTTGATATGAATGATCACCACTTTGCTATGTTCATGTGGCAATCCATTGATTGTTTCCGTTAGATGGTGGACCAAGTGGTTATCAAGGAATAGCTTCAAACATGTGCTGTTTAGACGTTCTCCCTTGCAGAATACAGTATGCTACAAGCATGCCTTATTCCATTACACAAAAAATTGATGAAGTTGCAAATTATGAATGACATAGGTGGCATTAGCTTTCTAGTTGTTCTGAGCGGTCAACATAATCCTTGAGCGGTTTGAATAAGATGGGATGAGAAGGTAAACTAACTATGTTACTTAATTATGGAGATTTATGTATAGGCTTCTCTGATCAATAATCAGAATTAAGAAATTATTGAATTAGGTTTTCTTATTATTTTTTCCTAAAAGCTTGAGCTGCTGGTTGACTTAAAAAAGGGTGGCCTATTGCTCAAAAGGTCCTGTCAATATGGGGTCTTGAGAGGGTCGATATTTGGATTGCCCATTTCTTTTCTGTAGTTGAAGATTATCATGGACAATGTATCTTGGAATAATAGAATCATTTGTTTTTATTGATAAGCTATAGTAATTAACAGACAAGGAAATGACAACTCCTTGTAATGGAAGAAATAGTCTTTTTGTTTAATGAACTTTCTTGAACCTTCTATGTTCTTTTTGTCAAGTTTAATCAGGTAAGAAACTTGGGTCCTTTTTTTTTATGAAGATCTTAATATTTTTAAAGTGAACTTCATTTTTATTGATAAATAAAAATGAACTTTCTTGAACTTGCTATATTCTTTTTGTCAAGTTTAATCAGGTAAGAAACTTGGGTCCTCTGTTTTTGATAAATGACAAGCTGTATCATTTTTATTGTCTTCTAACTTAGATTAGACTTTTGGTCCATCATGGAAGTTGAATTTTTACATATAGGCATGTTATTGATGTTTAAGTGGCTGGAACTTAGAAGTGTGAAGGTACCATTATACCGCAAGTGTTTGGAAGTTTGAGATTGGTATTGGTAGTGTTAATGAACTCTTCTAAGTTCTAACCATAGTCGAGGTGTCAGCACGGTGTGGTCCAACTGTCGATGTCTAGAGGTCGTCCCCAGTGACGGGGCCTTCGCCAAGTCGGGTCAGGTTTGGGATCCGCTCCACACGTGATCCTCTTGTCGGTACGTGGTTTGATTCGCTGTTGCCGAGCCCCTGTAGACAGGCCCAAGTCGGGAGGGGAGGGGTTTCCCGACTTGGCCCCTCTGAAGATTAAGTCAACGTTGGAGTGGTTTAAAGGAGTTAAGTTTTCTCAAAGAAGCCCCCCCTCCCTGATTAGGGAGGGTCGACTTTTATACCTGCGAGGATGAATTGGTTGTACAAGGTCAATTACCTACGGCCGGCTCCTCGGGCAGCCAGCTTAAGCTTCTGTGCGAGCGTCGACTGACCTGCACGGATCGACGTCGCGCGGCGCCGTCCTGAGCTTTCCAGGACGGTTGTACCATGATGATGTCGTTTCGTACAGAGGTGGTGAGCAACTGCCCATTGGAATCTGCGGCGCTACGTGTGTGCTGTATGCCACATTGGCTTTGCAGTTCCACGTCTGCACTGTCGTGTTTGCTTGCCTGGGTCCACGTGGGTGATACCGAAATGTGCCCTATCAGGTAGGATAACGTGGGGTGTGCAGTACCACCCGAGATGTTCTTATGTTGTTTCTAGGAGGACACAACGGCCTCATGAGGATTTGGTTCCTGTCTTGTGAAGTTGAGGACAGAAGGCATATTGTAATAGATATGGTTGCTTGGATATGAGTTTTATTCTATTGATACTGTCCAGATGTTGCTCATGTAATTGTGGCTCAAATATTGTGGCTTAAAATATCCGGAAACTATATTTATATTTACTCTGGAGTAGTAATATGTTGAAACTGAAATAACAGTCTAATTGTTCTACTATCATATCTCTAACTTAATGATGCATGGTTGACATCTTCTATTTCTAGAATGTCTCAAGCTAGATGCTATTCTGCATCTTTCTATTTTATAAGTAGAGTGGTGTTTTGATGCTTGATTATTTTATACTTTGCTTCATCCCCTCGTAGGTATTCTAGTTCAGATGTTAAGGATTTGCACATCAGTATGGCTATATCTGCAGTCTTTGTAAGATCCAAGATGTTTCAAACCTGCTTTTTAAAAATTATTTATTGTTATGTATGTCGGAATACAAGGTTGATGTTGCTATTGGTGATTTCAAAGTAACTCTTTATTCTACCATGGTCATATTTACCTACAAGATCAGGTGGACTTGTCAACATTCTATACAAGTATACATTTCTTATTACACTTAGGTTAATGATTTAAGTCATTAATACTCAGCAGTGAAAAATAGTTAACTTGTTTAGCAGTTATATAATTAAGGTTGGAAATTTAGCATCCACCCTACAAATCTGTCCACCCATTTTATTTTTTTTTCCACATGACTTGGCTGCAATATCAGCATTAAACTCTGTATAACTTGACAGTGTGCTGGTATATGGTTAGATCAGAAAATTTTGCTTCCTTCAAGGGTCCTAAAGATGTGCATGACTTTAGTATTTTTATTTGAGATCAATAAAATCCATGCATATTTGATGATTAATTGGTGTGACTATCTAATACCAGATGCAGTTTTTTGTGGATCCTTTTTTTGGTCCCTGGGGTCCTTTCTTATGTCATGAGTTCTGGATTAACTTGTTCAGAAAGAAAAGCTAATCACAATGTCTTTTCTCTGATGACTTTGCAAACTTGTTGCATCTTTGCCCAACATAATTTTTCTCTAGCTCAATCTGAGTTCTTCTCAAATTACGTATGGATGTTGACATGCACATTATGGAAAAAGGTCCTAATTAATAATTATTAATAATTACATGACTTTGATGGGGGCCTGGTAGGTGGTTTTTCTTTTCAGTATTAGGGTTTGGTTTTTATTTGTGAATTTACTTGCAGTTCCTTTAAAAATTGTGAACTCATTATATTTTATATAGCTAACTATTGTTGTTTATAGAGAATTCATCCCATCCTAGCGCCATAAGGGTTATTCTCCTCAATCACATTAATTGTTGGTTATCCTCCTTAATCACATTAATTGTTGTCCATCACTCTAGTAGTTACCTAATTGATATCTTGACCGTAGGTAATGAAAGCTCATCGTTATATGCTATTTTTCAAAGGATATATAATTTTTTTTTTCTGCTCAAAGTTTGCAGTGAAGATGATGAGCCTTTTAGATATTTGTAACACTACAAGATTATAGAGAATGTATAAGGAATTTTTTTCTTATTGTTCTTTGGCTGAGTTGTTGTTTAGAGGATATCGAATTGTTGTAGGTAAGGATCTTAAGAACAAAGTTGTAGATGTAAAAAGAATTCGAGATAGAGTTATAATTCTAAAATTTATGAAAGGACAAGATGTTTTAAATGTCATTAGTGTTTATGCCTCTCAAGTTGGATTGAATGATTAAACCAAAAGAGGATTTTGGATAAACTTAGATGATATTATTCAAGGAATGGGAATGTCTATAAATGAAAAATTATAATTGGAGGGGATTTGAATGATCATGTAGGAAAAACTATAGTGAATATAAATGGGTGTAGGTGGCTTTGGTTATAGGGAGAGAAATGAAGATGGTGGTATGATTTTGGAATTTGCAACTTCATATGATTTTATAATTATAAATACTCACTTTAAGAAGAGAGTTAGAACATTTAATTACTTATAAGAGTGGTCACAACTATAGTTAAATAGATTTTTTTCTCACTAGAAAGGTAGATAAAGTTATTTGTAAGAATTGTAAAGTTATACCTAGCAAAACTTTGACGAATCAGTGTAGGTTGACGGTATTTGATATTTACTGTAGCAAATGGAAAAAGATAAAGATAGTAGAAAAAATTACTAGAACTAAATGGTGGAATTTTAAAGATGATAATATAAACACTTCGAAAAATGAGATAGGGAAACGACTTAGAACTTAGATGAGGATAATATTAATATTATCTGGACTACGATGGATAATAAGATTAGGAGCTTAACAAACGAGATTCTTGGTGAAACTAAAGGTGGAGGTGTAACTTTAAGAGAGAGTTGATGGTAGTGCAAGAAAGTTTAAAAAATAATTTTTACTAAAAGATTGTGTTTTAAAAATTAATAAAATTATAAAAATGAGGAAAAATTTAAAAGATATAAAGAATCTAAAAAAGATGCTAAAAAGCGATTAGCATGACAAGATATAAAACTTATGATATTTTTTATCATAAAATAGGTACTAAAGATAGTGAAAAGGATATATATCGAATTTCTAAAATTAGGGAAAAAAAGTATATTGGTAATATTAGATGTATTAAAGATGAAGATCAAAGAATACTTGTTAATGATAACGAGATTAAAGAAAGATAAAAAAAATAATTTTTATAAATTATTTAATGAATATTCCACACAGACTTAGATTTAACGATAAATAATAGTGGTAAATTGAATAATCA